TTTGACGGAAAAAATACTCCAATAAGTAACGTTTACACCCCCAAGCTTTATTTGTCGGATATTAAAGAAATTGATACGCAACTAATTTTTGTTTAAGTATAAAATTTTTTAATAAAATATGAATTTAAAAAAAAAAACACATTCAACAAAAAAAAAATTGAAAAAAATGGTTTCAAGTTGTAAATAGTTAAATAATTGTAATATACCCCAAGCTGGCAATTAATTGATCCTTTCAAGCATGAATATATTAAATATCATTAATTTGAATCATATTTTGAAATATTCAACGCAATGAACGAGATAAGAACTTTTATAATTACAGGAATTGTGAATCAGCAAAAACTTAAGTCAAATGGTTTAATCACTTTAAAAAAAAATTACTGTTTCAAAATGCTAGTTTCTTTTGATTATATAATACATTTGACACAATATTATAGAATTTCTAATCTAGGGGTTCATGACCCTCAGGTGGGACAGATATCTGAATCAAGTTTGTGAGTAACCTTTCGATATCTGGTTTGATTATTTGCATTGAAATCTACAGTATATGATCCCATTAAATTGTTTATTAAAATAAATTATTCATAAAGTTTCAAATTTATTTTGTAAATGAAAATATTAAATTTTTAAGCTGTATCTTAAATTTAAATTTATTTAAAATTTGTCCTATTCTAGTAGTACCAGTCGTGAAAAATTCAGGAGTCGGCTCAGCCAGCCGTTCGACACTTTTCACTCATTCAAAATTAGCGACCATAATTGTATTATTAATATCTTAATATTTTTAACAAACATTTATAAAATTTAATTAATGTTGCAAATAGTAAATAATTATAAATTTTATTCATGATAAAGTCGTCAGAATCTCATTTGACTAAATATTTGAAGTTTTATTTAAATACTGTCATAAAAGAGAAACACCATCAAGAAATACTTACATTCCGAAATGTCCAGCCTATTTTCAAGCGAATTGAAAAAAATAATTTCATCAAGAAACTTCAATTTTAAATTCCAGATAATTAAGTTTAAGCTGAAATCGAACTTATAAATATGTTTATATACTTACGTTAAAGAAATAAAATCTCATCATCGGATTATGTTATGTAAATTCATTAATAATAATTTTTTAGTTTATTTTTGTCTTCGTTTGAACATAATCTAATCACTAAAGATTTATTATATTAGAATCATTATTCTCGCGGAGTTATTTTATTGACCTCTAAAATTTTTAATAAAGAATATAAATGTATAATACTTATTTTAAAAATTACTTACGAACAGTAAAGACATTTAACATAAATGTATGTATCATTTTAAATCTTGTCACCCTGATTTTTTTTTAAAATATTAGGATAAAGGAACTTTGTTTACTTGCGGGTGTCTATAATCCAAAATGTTTTATCATTAGACTCTTAGATGAACATTATTTAAGCAAGTACTTTTTCATATAACTATCATTAAATTTCAGATGCACTTGCAGAAATAATAAAAAATTTATGAACAAGTTGATTATTAACTATCTTAATTGTTTACATATTTATTTTAATAAGTTATATCATTATATTTCTCTCATAACCTTTTAAAGGTGAGCCAAAATAACTATGAAGAGAAATGAATTCAATAATGTCAATAAATTATAAATTGGATAAGAATTTGCTTATTTTAATATTATAACGGAATATTACATTTTTACCTCTTAATTTAGGTCCTAATTACGTATGGAAATTGCTAAAATATTAATGTATACTATTGTAAATTAATTTGGAAAATTAGAAATAGCAATTTAAGAATAGAAAGTAAAATACTTTTCATAAACGAAAATACAAAGGTTCAAACTATTTCAGTCTCAGCCGGCGCTCCGTAATAGGCCTTAATCAAACGCAGCTAGCTAACATGTTGTTCCTGTCACAAAATATACTCCTCCTTTTATAACAAATCATAGTTTCGTTATGGAATCTCTTTCAAAATATCAATCAATTACGGTTGGAGGACGGAATTATTTGATCCTAATATCTGAAATGTCATTTCGTCCAGTACCATAAAGGTCAGAAAGGTCCGAAATGCCAGAAAATCATTATCTTCGAGAATCAAAGCCAACCTATTATTTTTTAATCAGTTAATTAATCTGCTAAGACCAAAGACTTTTTAACTAGATAAGAATATTTAGACTAGCTCCAACCTACCTTTAGTCGTGAATGAACATCGAACTTCTGGTAGGAACAATTTATGAGTAACTTTTTTTCTGAAATTATTCGGGTTAGCAAGATTATGGTACATATATATAAATGAAGAGTATAATTCTCGTAAACATAAAAAAAAGCATAAAGAACTTAGATGATGTAAGACGTAAAAATAATTCTTATAAGCCTAAATAAAGTAGACTACATAAAGCATAAAAACAGCACTCCCATAATTAAAAAATTTTAAAAATTTTAGACACTACTTTTAAGGTATCTCGCAATAAAAAATATCAGTATTCATAACTTCTTTTTGAATTAATTACTTACGCTTCCTTAGAATAAAATGCATATTTGCGTCCAGTCTTGGAAGGGGGGTATTGTCAAAAGATATAGTTAACTATATGATAATGTACGTATGATGTAAATAGGTGACCTGCTGCGGGGGAACATCGATTGGATAAACTAAAATTACATTCGTAAAAAATAAAAATTTTTTTTTTTTTTTTTTTTTTTTTAATAAAATATATTTCTTTTATTTTAATTTTATAATTGTTAATCGTTAAAAGATTTTTTTAAATAGATGTCGACAAAGTGCAATTAATTAATTTTACAATCTCGGATAATAATACATCTTGAAATTAAATATTCCGAATTGATGCTGCGGCAAACCATTTAATATCTATAACAATGAGAGTTTTTCCGGAATTGATGATCATCTCTTTAAATTTTAATAAAAAGAAAATATAAAAAAAAATTATCATTTCTGGGATATTTTAAGACATTTTCTTTAAAAAAAAAAAAAAAGAATAGGTGCAAATATATAATTCGTATACAAGCAATCATTGCATATGGAGGAAAAAAACCAAGAAAATGTCGAAAGTATGACATATGAACGTTATGTTCCCTTACCATTCAATACTACAGACGAACTTGGACCGTGGGAAATCCTCCTTAGTGAAAGCACTATCAAAGACTTACGGGAAATGCTGTACAATGAAGACTTCAAAGATATGCAAATAGAGTTACCTCTCACGATTGAAATTGTCATGAAAAAACTTAGGCAGATATCATACGGTGAGTGGAAAAAGTATGGTCTGCAACGTAAGGCGTCATCTATCGATATTCCTGTCTACGAAGTGGAGCTTCCTGACAATAATTTGAAAATTATCTGGCAAATTGACTATGGGTTCTCTATCCATAAATATTTATTCATGCAACATGTAAAGGTATGGACCATCACTGCAAGCCAAGAACAGATTGACTTGACATTAAAATCCCTTGAAAAAGTTTATAAAGTCTATACTTCCGAGCATATGAGTCGTTGCGCAATTCAATGCCTAAAGAATACCGCAATACCGATGAATTTTGAAGATGAGGTAACAAAGTTCACCAACGAGGAGTTTGACAACGAGGGACTATTAGAAATCCATAAAATGTTTATTATAAATAAATTTATCCCTATATCAAGGGTAAAGTATGTTGTTATATTCATATTAACTAGTCAAAGGATAAATTCCTAAACCTTATAATTTTCTCTCAGGATCTATTTAAATCGCTCATCTTGAGTGGCTCTGATTTCGCTTTTCAATTATCCAAGACCGAGTACGATATAATTAACCACCCTAAGTCGGCGGTCGTTTATGGACGATCGGGTTAGTAATCTAGCTTTAACCATAAATTACTAGATTAAAAATGCTAACTTTGTTGATCTTTATTCTAAATATCCGACATTAGGTACCGGCAAGACAACATGTATCGTTTTTAGACAGCTCGTTTCATATCTTAAAAGCCAATTTTACAAAACGCCATTTTCGCATGATAATGACGAGTATTTTTATAAAAGACAAATATTTATTACGTTGAATCCCATTCTATGCATGCGAGTACAGAAATACTTCAACCAATTGCAAAAGTCGGCGGAGTTTGCTGGAGAGAAGATTACGAAGGCTCAATTTATTGAGTGGAAGAAGGAATATGGCAGAACCAAAGAGTTTGATGACAATAAAATGCATGAGGAAGGCGATGAGAAGAAAATCCTGGGTGAAATTCCGAACTCGTTCGGTCTGCTGACGGATCGTCACTTCCCATTATTTATTACTTACGAAAAGTTTTTTGAAATGCTTCGGGGGACCTACGGTATTGATGCTCGAACGTTGACCACAAAACGTATACAAGAGCACGATGTAATTAATAATAATAATGATGAGGAAGAGGTGTCCCACTATAGGTCACCCTTTACAAACATGTCAAAAGCTTCGTGGTCTACCTTTGTTGACTATGAACTATTCGAAAAAAAGTATTGGCGTCGTTTCGGTTATCGTTGTAGAAATAAACTGGATTGCGCGCTGGTCTACTCAGAGTTTTTTATCATCAAAGTAAGTAACTATAAATCAACCATGCGCATATAAAATTTGAGATTTTGACGTTTATGAAATTTTCAAAAAATAATCTGAAGGGTACGAATAATGAGTTAGGCTACTTAACAAGAGAAGAATACCGATCTATTAGTACCAGAAAATACCCGGCATTCACTCACAATCGTGATGAAATTTATGATTTATTTGAGCGATATGAGAAGTTTAAGGCGCGGAATTATGATTATGATTCAGTGGACCGGTAAAGTTCAGGTGAATTTTCTTTTTTAAACAACACAAAGATTTTCAATTTCTTTTTCGTAGAACTATATCCATATTACGCGCAACCAAAACGAAAATATATGATGGGCCGCATGTTCATGAAGTGTACATTGATGAATGTCAGGATAACCCGATCATAGATTACATGCTTATTTTGAAAATTTTTGACTGCGCTGACAGCTTTTTCATGGCAGGAGATGTAGCGCAATGTATTGCCCGAGGGTCGAATTTCCGATTCGAGGGTATGCATTTTTTTTTTTTGTCCTTCATGGGTTAGACTATTGCGTTTTCATTCTATAACTCATAATTATTAATAATCATAATAGACTTATACACATTAATTTACCAATGGGATCACAAACGAGTACTGTCAGAAAACAACCGATATACTTCCTTTAAACCAAAAAAGTTCGAACTAAACATTAATTACCGTTCCCACAGAGGGATCCTTCAACTAGCATCATCAGTAATTCACCTCCTCAAAGAATTTTTTCCTAATTCTATTGGCAAACTGTCACCTGAATTCAGTGAAATCGGTGGTCCTCAACCTATTATCTTTGAGGATTGTCAGGCAGAAACTCTATTTGCCTTAAGAAATAATATCGAAAACGCAAATGCATTTATTAAATTTGGGGCTGATCAGGTCATTATCGTACGTAATGAAAAGGCTAAACAGCGTGTGAAGGATTTAAACAGCAATATTGGGTTGGTTTTAACTGTGTTCGAGGCTAAAGGGATGGAGTTTAATGATGTGCTATTGTATGATTTCTTTACCGATTCGCCCGCACTTTTAAATGTATGGTATGATAACATGAAATTTGTATTAAAGCGCGATATAGTAAGTCAGTAAGATTCTGCATATATATATTATGTTATAGTGGCGAGTGATTCTTTCCGAATTGGATGACTATTCTGGCGGAATTCGCGAATTCATTCCTGATAAGCATTATATCCTTTGCTCGGAATTTAAACATCTCTATGTCGCCATAACCAGAGCCAGAGAACGTCTATGGATTTTTGATGAAGATTCTGAGAAGAGTGAGCCAATTCGGACATACTGGAGACACAAAAAGCTAGTTGAAGTAACGAATGAAATCGATATTTCTACTTTAACCAAGTCAAGTAGTCTGTCCGAATGGAATTGTATGGGAAAAATGTTTTTTGAGCAACGGAAGTATGAACAGGTAAACTCTTAATAATATACAATATTTTATATTTAATAATGAACTGAGTCCTCTAAATGAGACATACTATAATCACCCAGGCTATTTTCTGCTTCAAAAGTAGTGGAAATAAGATCGGTGAAAATTTAGCCCATGCATATCATCTTCAACAAATTGCCAGGACATCCTTCGTAACCGGTTCTGATAATGCGACAATAAAGTTAAATTTCGAATTAGCCGCTCATGCATTTGTAGTATGTTCCCGATTACCACAAGCGGCTTCATGTTATGAGGTATATCTTTTTTACATGAAACTTTGTGGGCTTCTGCATAAATAATTTGATTTTGAGTTTATTCTGTGTAATACATCTCCATTTGAATTTTCATGGTCATATACAAATTTACCAAAACTTTCAGAATATAAACATGTATAAAGAAGCTGGTAAACTCTATTCGGAATCAAAAATGTTTGAACCTGCCGCGCGATGTTATCGTGATGCTAAGATGTGGAACGAAGCAGGTGATTATTTTGTAAAGGCTGAAAACTATGATGGCGCATCTATTGCCTATAAAGATGGCGGCCTTCTTGATATGGTAACTGACTTAATTCAGAGGTAAGCTTTAAATAACTTTTGTAGATTCTTTCATAAGAATCTTTTTTAGTTGTCAATTCATAACAAGAAAATTTCTAAACTATTTAAAAAGGCACAAACAAGATATCAACGATGAGACGATCAATGAACTTAATATTCACTTTCGCAAAGAGGCAGAAAATCTTTATTCGCTTGATAAATTTGAAGAGGCTGCTGATATGCTAAACCATTCAGTTGATAATGACGAGAATACAATAGATGCTTCAGAGTACTTATTACGATTATGCAGAGTTAATGTACTAAAAGAGATCATCACAAGCTCAAGTGTCCTGCAGGAATTGAGCAGGCTTCAATTCAAAGCGGCCAAGTCTATCTCAAAAATTATAGTTCATACTGAACAATCTAAGAGTATGATGCAAGAGTCTCGGTTATATATTTCTTATTTAAATAAGGATCTCAATGAAGTCTACGAGTGCAGACAATATTTCATGAAGAATAAAGAGCTTGTCACTGAGTTTTTTGCAGTAATAATGTGGCTGCAGATTCCCACTCCATCAGAAAATGATATCAAGCATTGGAAATAGCTGTGTAAATTGATCTTTCCATATCTTGCTCCACAAAGAAATGATTGCATTGCTAAAATCTCGAAAGAATTCGTGGATATTTTTTTCTGCTTTTGCAACAATCAAAACTCTCAGCAACAGAAAATTTGTTCATATAACCCACTTTATTACCTTATGAATTACAATGAATCTATTACAAGCTGCAGATTGATTTGTGACGTCGATGTTGTTCATAAGACAATTACTCAATTCCTTATCACATATATCTATGATCGTATTTCGAAAGTCAGTCAGGATGGTAGGATTAATCCGAATATATCTTCGATAATCTGCTATAACTTTGCATCATCGGGTGATTGTCAAAATGCAAATTGCCAAATGCATCACATAACTCCGACACCATTTCTTCTGTACCAACGCCAGAAACTTGCAAGGCTCCAATACACAGTGGTGCGACAGTTGGATGTATTATAAAGTCACGGACTTCTTTGTAAGGAAAGTAACGAATTCCTTGTTTTGCAAAAGTATTGGGCTGAAAATCTTGTTAAATGTCATATGCGCTATCATTCACCGCATACAAGCTGCCCAGAAGTTACTTTCATGGCTTTTGCTAATCTTCCTATTCACGTTCGTGATGGTCTTATAAATGAAGCTTACAAGAAATCGTTATTTCAAAAGTCCGTGAATGTTTACGACTTTGAAGTGATGTTAAAATATATAATTGTTATACAACAGTTGCGGGACAAAACGGTTATTGATGAGCTTTATCAGGAGATGTCGAAAACCAAATTACTTTCACACCCAAACGACCTAACCGTTGGTTATGAATATTATTGTGGAAATTATCAAGCGATTCCAGTAGGAAGATATCTCTCGCAATTTTTCTCGACTCTTTATGCTAATAAAGTGATTACTGCGATCATAAGTTCAAAGTCGTTTATTAATTATGTCCTAAAAAATATTAAAGAAATCAATCTGGTTTCATCTGATGCACTTGGTGATCTTACATCTCTTGTGGAATTTACAACGTCTTTGATTTTCACAGTTGGTCAAGAGTATTGTGATTTTTGTCTTCCTCGGTCTTATCTGGTTAATTATTTTGAAGCATTTACCGCAAAGCCGCTAATACCGGATCGATATACTTACAGCAGAGAGAATTATCTGTCTGCAATCAAAAATTCAATTGATCAAGTTTATCAACTTCTCGACCTGTTGATTTTTAATGAACAGGTTTACTTAACAATTATCCTTCGACTGATGCGGCTTTTGATTCTTATCGGTCTAAATGAATCTCGTTTTGCGCAGGAGATCCTTAATCTTTTCAAACACATTTTTAGTAAATACGAAATTTTTTCCACGAAAATCAGGAAATACTTGGAAGACGAAGATTTTACACGTCTCGGGGTCATTCTGCATAATGATCTAAGGGAGAAACGCTGCGACTCCTTGGTTCTCGTATATCATAAATGTTTAATTAATTCGAAATTTGCTTGTTTCGAAAATTATGGGTTCAATAGTCTTACATATAGCTCCATTGAGGAATTCCGTTCTTCACTTCGAAAGATAATATCTTCCAATACCGGCATTCCAGAAGATAAACTCTCCTTGCTTGATTCTCTTGTTGAAAGTTAATTAAACTCAATACTATATACTGTACATTCTAAGCCTTTTTTATTTTTTATTATATTTACCTATTTATTTTATAAGGAATCTAGCAAAACGTGCTTTTCGGACTTCATTCCCATGTATATATTATTATATTTTCATTGAACATTATTAGGGGAATATAATTGTAATAATTGTAAAAAAATATAGCTCCTTTTTTATAATTTCGGATGCAATGTACTGTACTTTTATTAAACTTTAAAAGATATATTTTGCTTTTTTTTTGGAAATAAAATTTTCAAAATAATTAAATAATTAGGTATTAAAATATTTATACTTGTTAATAAATATTTGTTTTGAAAAGGATAATATATATAAATAATTTGGATCAAAAGTGAAAAAATTTTTAGGGGTTATTTTTGTTTGTTCACATACTTATCATATATAGTTTTATATTTTATTTAAAATAGCAAAACGAGTTATTATAATTTTAAAAAATGAAGTTAATTAGTTAATTTTCTTTATCTTGCTGTATACTTTGAACAATTTTCAGTGATTTTTTTTAGTTACTGATAATAGTAAATTGATAAGGTGACTAGCAGCTCTCATACATAAATTTGTATTGTAATTCCTAGTAACATTGGATGCAGTACTTTATTAAGTTAGCTATTCATATTTGCTAGCAGGAAGTTTAATTAAGTTAAACTATTAAAGAAATAAACACAAGTTAATTGAATTGAAAGGGTCAGATTGATATTTGTAATAATAATTCTTGCAGATCACAATCTATGATTGACGCAGTTATCTTATTCTGTCTTGATGAAAAATTTATAGAAAATCGCTTTCATTAATATTTACTAGTTAATCCGGCAAGTGCTCCGAACCGTTCGGGTCGAGCCGGGTTATTGACCTGAGTTAAGTTATCGAGTCCTGAGACCCGAATTAAATCAACCCGTCGGGTCGGGTCATACTTTTGCATAACCCGTGTGATCGAATTTGTACTAAAACTTTTTGACATAAATATCATCCTGTTAACATTGAAAATGAATTTATACTATGCAATAAATAATTTATAAAAAACACCCGGTAGAATATTAATATTGAAATTCGTTTCTCGGAATTAACATTATCCGTAATCTCGGGTGGGTTAGGGTTATGAAATGCTGACCCGACTATTTTTAACGGTCCATTTGCACTGTCGGGTCGGGCAAAAGATTGAATTTTATCATTTTAAATTTAATATACCACTAGTAAATATGAGTTGATGTTATTGGTCTAAAACTTTTTCTTATAAAGATCTTGTAGTGTGGTAAAGATCCTTGAAAATTGAGGCCGAAAATTATGATCGTGATGAACCGCTATCATAACAATTTATAAAAATTTAGTATGCAATATATAGATAGAGCATGCATGTCTATATTTTATATTAATACCTCTTTTTGCTAACTCCTGGTATTCACTTGCTAATTGAGAGTTGTGAGAAAATGATTCACGATATTTTTTGTTGCAAACTTGGTCTAGTATAGTCACAATATCTCCACCAAATCTCTCATAAGGAATCCTTTCTTCTGCAATTTCCCAAAGAAGAATACCAAAACTATAAACTTCACATTTGGTTTTATATATATACGCTCATTTTGTAACTTTTCTGGAGCACAATAACGAATAGCTTCGAGAGTCGCCTTTTGATTTTGTGTACTATCGGGTACTGCTCGACTTGATTTGAAATTTGCAATTTTGGCAGTTTCATGGTCGGTGATCAAGATATTCTCGGCTCTTATATCACGATGAAGGATCTATCGAGACGCATTTATCCCCCAAAAGGTAAAAAAAAAAATGATAAGTTTTAGTGGAGGAAAACATTGGTAAAGGTACATATATATATTACCGAAACGGCGGTCAAGAAATTTAAGCCTTTAGAAATGTCAAGAGCAAATTTCAACTTCCGCCTCACTTCAAGTGGATGTTTTTGATAATGTTCACGTAAATTTCCATAATTGGCCCATTCTGTCACCAAATACAATTTATCTTCATGTGAAGTTAAACCATAAAATTGAATAATAAAAGTACATTCTTTTAATTTTTTTAATATTGTGACTTGACTTTTAAAAATGCTTTTATATTTTTCACTGATATTCTTATCAGCCAATAACTTTAATGCGACCGAATCATGAAATCCATATTTTCTTCTATTAAATTTTCTCACATATTTATTTTTCAAAGGTTGTTTAACTTCTTCAAAATCATTATATTCAAGTAATTCACTTTGGAAATCATTTGAATTAGCTTGAATAATTTCATTCAATGAATTACCAAACACATTAATTTGTTTAACTGCTTCCGAGAAATTTTGATTTATGTCTGTTATACCGCTGCCAATATCTTTAAGGTACTACTAGTTAAGTACATAAGAGATCTAATAAAATCAGATTACATGAATTCATGAACTATATAATGCGTTACCTGAGATAAATCTTCGATATCAGACTTAACTTTATGGTCATCTAAGTCAGCATGTACGTTAAAGTCAACCACAACCATTCCCGAATAATGCAAATGGAATCATATTCATTTATTAATTCTTTAACACATATTTACATACTTTTAGCATGAATATACTTGGATAATCCTGTTATTTGAGTAATTTCCTCAACAAATTTATGAATTTTATCGACAACTTTGTCTAACTTTTGTAAATAAAATAAATTTTCTTTTGTAAAAAATTCTTCGTTTTTGTCTCTTTGAAGTTTTACATTTCTTGAGTTAATATCAGCTATTTGAACTCTATTCAACAATATTCCACATATTTTTTTATTATGTTCTGCTGCTAGAAATATGTCGTTTGTTTCCTTGTATTTTTTGGATACTTCTGTAATAAGTGGTAAGAACTTGCAAATGGAACTATTACGTTGGGTGCGGCTTCTTTACCTCCGTGGATTGATGATGTCGTATTAGGATTTTGTTCCATAAGTTTTCCATCGTTATCATCAGTTATATTACCATCAATAAAAATATTCAATTGAATAGATTCTTGTTTAAAATTAGTAATATTTAATTTCTGAAGATTGGAATCATAATTTGAGGATCCTTTAGATTCATTACTAAAACTTTCATTTTCATTAATTTTGTCAATAAATGTACCATTTTGGCTGGGAGAAATTATTGCTTTAAGAGTTGAAACAACCTGCTTTATATTTGGACGTTTATTTGGTTCAATTTCCCAACATACTAAATAAATTAATGAAATTAATTTTAAAACATATTTTTTTAAAAGTACAATATTCATTTGCCTTACCTTTATATAATTTACAATACTCAATGACTGGGAGTTCCGTCAACAACCTTTTCTCTTCTTCCGCCAACTATATCAATGCTTAAGCCTACATAATAATTAGCACCATAAAATGGTGAGCGTCCACTTGAAATTTGCCACATAAGCACTTTAGTGCTATAGACATCGGATTTTTTTATTTAATTTGTAACATTGGTCAATTAAGGAATTATGCCAAATATTTTTGAATTATTTGAAACTTCAGAAACTTTTCTTGATAAACCAAAGTCTGATAATTTAATGATTTGCTGATGAACAAATATATTGTCCGCGTGCTTAATTGGATAAAAAAAAATATTAATAATAATAAAGTTTGTATATCTTAGTATTCAGATTAAAAAAAGTGAAATCTTATACCAAATCGCGATGGATAATGTCTTCTTCATGCAAGAATTCTACAGCACTTGACAGTTGTAGTGCCAGCTGAAGTTTGTCATCCCAATTTAGTTCATTGTAATGCTTATTTAAATAAGATTTTAATGTGCCGCTATCGGCATATTCTAAGACTAAAGAGTATACATCTGTAATGAAAATAACGACATTATAAATTAAAAGTAATAATATTAAAGTTCAATGATACAATTCTAATACTCACTAGGTTCTGTCATTGTGACTCCATATAAACGTATAATACTTTCATGATCATTCACTTTCCAATGCAGTTTCAACTGTAAATACACCATACAAAGTAAAATTTAGTGTAAAACTTTATTCATTTTTCGTATTAAAAAAATCACAAAATAAATTTACCTCTTTCACAACTTCTTTAGTGACTTCTCTATCATTGTTAAAAGTTTTTAAAGCGAAAAAACGTTTATTATTCCAGTTAATTCGATAAACGGTTCTATAAGAACCTTTCCCTAAGAACTGTTTATTTATGAAATTCGATTGTTCATAAAGTTTGATATGTTCATTAGCAATTGAATTCTCTAACCATTCAATATCATTGGTATCTTTTGACATCATGTAATTTTTGCAAAAAAAAAAGAAATGGAAATTTTGTTGATTATGTATAATTGTAAATTGTGTACTGTACAACAAAAAGAAAAGAAATTGAACGCTTGCAGCCCGAAGCGATCGACACTTTATTTGACAACGCGAGACTTATTATTTTCAATTGATAACAATTTTTTGTTTGTCAATATGAGGTTAGACATTTCCGACATTTTTTTTTTTTTGCTTTGCCTTAATATAAATATACACTAGCCTAGAGGTTGGAACTGGTCCAAAAATCCTTAACCGGTTAATAACCAATTAAAAAATTCTTTAACCAGCTAATTAACCGGTTAAATTTAACTCTGGCCGGTTAATTAACATTCTAAAAATTAACCAGTTCCAACCTCTACACTAGCCTAGCAGTTCTGAATCGGGTGCCCCGGGAGTTCGCTAATGTAATGTGAAATTTCAATTTATCTTAAAATTTATTGTATAACACTAACTCGTTGGGTTGATTAAATAACCTAACCATAACTAATCCTAACCTTAATCCCAACCCTTTAATAAACATATATTGTTTATTGCAAACTATAACGATAAAGTAATCATTAAAAATTATTAATATTTTTTAAAATACATTTTTTTTTTTATTATTATTTTTATTTTTTTATTTATTAATGGCTAATTTTCATTTTTTATATTTTTATTTATTTTTTTTTTGATTAATTTAATTTGGATTTTTTTTTTATTTGATTTATTTTGTTTAAATTAAAACTCGTTATTGTTTTATTTATTTACAACCCTTTATATTTTTTAATGTTATTTTATTTTTAAATAAATTTTTTTTTAAAAATTATTGCCTTGGTCTAAATTTTTATTTATTTATTTTGGTTTTATTTTTTTTTTTTGAATTTTAAAATTTTAATTTTTATCAGTTCTTTTTACAGAATTTATATTAGGTATTTTTTAATTTAACTCGTTAAAAATTATATTTTTTAATTTAAAAACTGTTAAGATTTTTATTTTAATAAAATATTTTTGCTTTTTTATTTTGACTTTTTATTTTTTTTTTTTAAATTGTCAGATTGCCTTTTTTAAATTTTAATAAATTGCTGGAATGTGTTTTTTTTTTAATTTCATATTTTTCTTTTTTTAAATATATTGCCTAAGATATCGGTTTCACAGACCATAAGCTGTAAACAATATTGTATAACCAATATTTCTTTTGTATTAATCGAAAATTTCATTTCGATGAATTAAGCCTTGTATTAACAATATTTTGTTATTTGTAACTCTTAAAATTACAATATTAGAAATGTAATTAGATGGATTATAAATTTAACTTGTTTATTTGACATAAATTTTTTCACACCTAATTTGAATATCCAAATTCCAATACTATTCCTTTTATAAACGCTCTTCGTTACACGATTTTCTAAAAATAGAATTATATGAAAGTCGAGGGCTGAAAAATTAATTAAATACATAATCCCTTTCATACCTATACCTAAATAATTTCTCAATTAAAAAAATTAAAAAAGAAAAAATTTATCGTAAAAAATGGTTTTAGAAAATAACACAAATAAAATCTTGGAAGACTTGGAAAATAGAATTAAGGATTTAGAACAAGACAAAAAGAATGCTGACGATGAAAATCGAATGTTACACACGTTTCTGTTGAATGAAATTGGAAGCAAGAATTTAGATAATTTAAGAAAATTACTAGCGGGACAGAAACTTACTGATATATTA